GGGGGGGGGGGTTTTGGGGGGGGGGGGAGCATTTGGGTTTGGGGAGTGCGGCTGCTGATCACTGCCCGGTGCAGATGGCATCATCCCCATCCTGGACATCAGCATCTACTACCGTGGGAAGCTCTTCCACCAGGAGGAGGTGCGGGGCAGCCAGTGCCTGCTGGCATACCAGCCCTCTGACCCAGCAGTGGCCCTGCGTCCCGGGTGCCTGGTGCGCTTCCCCAGCCCTGCCGAGCTGACTGACAGCAAGCAGCGGCGTTTCACCAAGGAGTTGCTGGACAGTGCGGGGCTGCAGTTGGAGCAACGCACCCGCAAGCTCTTCGCCACCCGCCTGAAGAAGTGCAAGGTCTTCTGGGCCCTGTCCCAGCAGCTTGAGGGTGTCAGAGACCCCCCACCTAACCTGCTCTGCCGGGACAAGGAAACGCCCATCTTTGACTTCAATGAGTTTTGCACAGGTGGGCAGGGCTGACACCTGTGGTTGTCATCACCTGTGATGACACCTACAAGCCCCTGGTTTTGGGGCTTGTAGGAGCTAGCTCCAGGATGTCACAAGCATCCGAATCCTTCCAGCCCCTCTGTGTCCCCCGGGCTCACCCCAAAACTGAGCCCTGCCTCACTTCGCAGAGCTGAGGGACTTCCGCAATGGCCAAAGGCAGCGGTCCCCTGACTTCACTATCTACCTCTGCTTCGGGCAGTCCTTCTCCAAGGCCAAGCCCAAGGAATCCAAGCTCATCCTGGTCAAGGTGCAGGGGCCAACACCCACCACTGCCCCACTGCTGCCCAGGGAGGGGAAGATTCTTGGGGGCCAGGGGAGATGGGGGGGCTCTGGGTGACTGAGGAGGGGGACCCTGGAGGTCCATGGGAGATGGGGCTCTGGGTGCCCAAGGAGCAGGACCCTCGGGGGCTTGGGGATGGGGAGGGGGTTGGGTGCCCACAGAGGGGGAACCCTTGGGGAGCAGGGGAAATATGGGGGGCCAGGTGCCTGGGGAGGGGACCCTTGGGGGCCAGGAGTCCAGAGAGGGCCACCCTAGACAGGGGGCAGCTGCCCAAGGATGGAGACCCTCAGGGGCTGGGGAAGATACAGGGTGCCCCGCACACCTCCTTCCTCCGCTCCAGGAGGACGGAGCCGTGCAGGGCTTTGCAGCCACATCAGGCAGCCGCCCCTAACCCTGACGGTTTGCTGCCACAGCTGGTGCCCAAGTTCTGTGAGTACTGGTACGAGCAGGTGCTGCGGGAGGGAGCCTCCTCCCTCGACAGCGGCACCGTCAGCCTGCAGCTCTCTGACTCCTTCAGCCTCTTCGAGCTCATCGAGCAGTGCAACATGCAGATGGACTGACCCCCACCTACCCCACTCCCTGTGGCCCCCTGGGACAGGCACCAGCCAGCAGGGGACCACCGGGCGGGGACCGGGGACCACCGGGCATGGGGCAAACCGGCATCCCCCCGCCAAGAACACCATGGCGGGGGGGGGGCCCGCGGGGGGGGGGGGGCCCGGCCACCCCCCCCCCCCCCCGCCAAGAACACCATGGCAGGATGCCTATGGGGGGGACCTTTCCTCCTCCACTCCCCCCACCCCAAGGACAGCTTCACCGGCCGGTCCCGGAGCTGACACGTTGCTTTTCCCCTCTGTCAGCTGCTAATGTGTTTTTGCGGAGTGCGATCATTTACAGATTTATTTTCTTAAGTTTTCTAAGTTTAAATATATATGTATGGAAAGGTGCTTCCTGCTTGCTGATGTTGCCTGGACATCTGCCCCCACTATCAGTCCGAGATCTTCACCCCCTCCATCCCCCAAAACCATGGGGGTCCATGACCAGCCTTGGCCCAGCAAAGCCCTTGCTTGGCAGTGGGCTCGTACCAGAGTGCTTGTCAGCACCTTCTCCCCCTTACATTTATGTAAATGAAGTGACTTCCCACACATGAAGGGATGCATTTAGTGATGCATTTATTTCCATGCATTAAGGCTGCAATCGTGACTTGCAAGTAAAGCGTGTTGAGGACAGCTTGGCTTTGGCTAAACAGAAATAATTCTTCGGCGAGTGCCTCCCTGCTGGCCCAGAGTTACTCACTTGAGATGTTCTGGAAAAATAAGGCAGTAACTGCAACACGAAGCACCCAGAGCTCAGCTCTGAGGCGCAGAGGTGGTGGTATCTCAGGGAGGAGCGTGGTAACCAGAGCACTGCCCAAAGACGGGGTGTCCCCTTCCCGGGCTGGAAGCAGCTACACCCCCTCATTTCAGAAGCGAGGGGAGAGGACTGGCCATCAGTGTTGGACACTGGGCAAGGGGAGGTGGCAGCCTCCTTACCTGGTGATTGATGTGGATGCTGCTGGGCCCGAAGGTGGTGGTCCCATAGCTTGTCACATAATAGTGAGCAGAGGGCTGTGCCGGGGACTCCTCCAGCTTCCTAGGCACTGTGGGGATGGGGGGACACCATCAGCACCTCAGGTCCATGAAACCCTCAGCCCTCCTCCCCCCCCGAGCACTGTTGCAGCGCAAACCCAGGACCATTGGGCTCACCTTTGGGCAGGAGCAGCTCTGCGCCAAAGCAGTGCCCGCACGTCCCACAGGTTTTAACATCTTCCTTTGTCCTGTGGAGGAAAAAGCCCCGAGAAGAAGGAGCAGGAGCTGCCCTAGCACTTCCCATGGAAGATGATGCCAAGGCGATGGAAGAGGGTCCCTCTTTCCACCCTGACCTGAGGTCCCACCATTGGTGGGACGGCTGCTGCCTTCCCAGGTGCCTGAGCACCTTCAGCTCTTCATGAAATGGGGGACATGTGGGCACCTGGCCAGAGTGGACATTATGTGCCTGAGCCCCAGAGCACCTTTCCTTCCATACTTGAATTTCCCACACAAGTAAATGCTAACACCACATGGGACATGGGCTGCTATGGTCAGGAGAAAGACAATATAGTGCCTGGCGAGTTTCACAACTAATTTCACATGGCTTTTAGAAGCTGACCAGCCCCACCAGCATTGCAGTAGCAACCACCCAGCTCCAGGCCTCGGCTTGGAGGGGCACAGCGCGTACGTACATGGCATTTGTGCCATCCATGTCCGGCCAGATGAGCTCTGCGGGACAGCCGGCTGTTCGGCAGGGGGTCTTCACACACACATGCAGCCCCGGCCATTCCTCGGCGAGCTTCTGGATGACGAACACAATGGCCATGAGGAAGTCCCAGGCAAACTGGAAACCTTCCAGGCAAAAGGAGAACATCTTGCTTACTCACAGCCACCCAACCGCAGCAGCCCAGGAGATGCTGTGGTGATGCACGCATCGCTCCAGCCCGCCAGACCACCACAGCCAGAACGGTTGGACCAGCTCCATTTCTCAAGTTAACCAAGGCCCATCAGCCTTCAAAGGGAATTTGAAGATATGTTGGAAGATCTCCCCAACTCGGATGGCCCTTTTGCTCATCACTTGGAGACCCAGCCTGAGACTGTACTCTGCTGGGACCTTATCGGGAAGGATGACCCATATGCTCCATGAGAAGACTGAAAACTTGACTTTCCACTTTCATGTGATACCTTGAGAGGAATCCTGACCAGGTTGCATGGAGAAAGGGAAATCTTTAACTGAACTGCTGGTGGACCCTGGCCAGACTAGGACATGTGGCAGAGGCTTCTGGGATGCTCTGCCCAGAGGGGTGGAGGTGACAGGGAGCTAAGGAAAGACGTGGTTGGGAGTCATGAAATAAGGATCAGGGATCCTTACCTGTCCTTCCTGCCGGCTTTCTGCACCGGAGCTCCAGGTAACTGTAGGCCCTCTGGTTATTCTCTTTGATCAGCAGAGGTTTGCCATTGCATATGAGCAGGCAGGTCACCTTGGCCACCCAGTGCGTGGAGTAGAAGGAGCAAGCTTTCACCAGGAACCTGCAAGGAGATTGCCCATGGCTTTCACCACTCCCGCTTATCTCTAACACTGGGAGAAGGCATGGCACCAGGTGGACTTGAAAAATATGAACCCAATTTCAGTAGAAACAGAGGCAGACACCAAATGAGGAACCTGCCCTACTGAAAGCTCAAGCAGCGGGAGCAGCCTCTTAAGCCAAGAGCTGCTTATAGAATTGGCCATCAGATAAAACTCTGGACACAAGTTGAGAACCCCACAAGGACAGGAGACCTTCCAGAAACTGGAACAGTCCCAGTGCCCGTAGAAACTTGACCATCCTCAGGTGGGACTGGGAAACCTCTGACTGCCTGGATGGGCACAGACTAGCCAAAAACCACCCCAGATGAAAGGTGAACCAGAAGGAGTGTGGTCCTTTCTCACGTCCAGACAGCGAACATCAAAATGGTTCATCCAGGGCTCCATACGTCTGTGACAGAGCTGAGAAGCCGCCCTGGTCTCCTGAGTCCCAGACTCATGCCTCAGCTGATACAGTCTCAACGGCCAAGGGCTTGCTGACAGTCATACTGGCGCTGTGCCAAGCAAACCCTGAACCACACAACCTCATCAAGGGCTGGAAACCACTGCTTACCTCTGGAAGAAACCCTCAGGTATTTCGGGTGAGAAGTAGGCACGGATGTGGAGGTCCTCGGGGTGATCTCCTCCCCACACCTCAGAGACCTCTTCGGTCTGGTTCAGATAGGTTGGGAACAAGTACCAGGACTCGCCTTGGCCCCGCGTTGTCTCCCATGGCTTCCCGGGCACAAATTCACTGGCCTGTGGGTTGAGCACTTTGGCGTGCCTCACCTCCAGGCAGAGCTCAAAGTGCTCCAGGAGGCTGAAGAGCTTCCCTCTCCCTCTGTGGGGCCCGTGTCCCATGATTTCCTCAAAGATGTCCCGCATCCCTTCTGAACAGAGCTGGTGCTTCACCAAGGCACGCACGGCCTGGTAGCACAGCATTGCCTTTGACTTGAAGGTCCACACCCAGTTGGATCTGTCTCTGATGGTGGCATGTTCCCCAATCAGCGTGTCCACAGAGATGCTCTCGAGCTGCTGGACTAGGCGGTACCTCACAAGGAGCTGGGTGGGAGGAGGAGAGAAGAGGCGGCAATGAGAGGAGCCCAGCAAAGCTGCAGAGCTTGGGCTCTGCAGAGAAGACAGTCCTGATCCCCACACTCACCTTGAACATAGTTATTAGGAAGGTAGGCTGGAGAAAAACAGTGCTTTCCAGGTGCTTGATTTCCTCATACCACACGACAAGCCCGATGCGGTGGAGGTACCGCAAGATGTCCTGGAGAAGCTCTCTGCCCAGGTTGGCCAGGTGCTCGCACTGGGAGAGTTTGCTGAGCAGGTACTGGAGGTCCATCATGCCTAGAGGGAGACGTGGGAGCTCAGCACGCATCTCCCAGACACCAGCATTCCAAGGCAGATACTTGAGAGCCAACAAACACCAGCAGCACCCAATGTCACCCATGCCATTCCTGGAGAAGCAGCTGGGACCAGCACAATGCTCGGTGCCTGTGGCCCAAAATGCTTTGCCCATCCTCAGCTGTCCCACTGCCACCCTGCAGCTCCCATGGTCTTGCCTTGCCTCAGCGGTGCCAACAGCCTGCCAGGACCTCAAAGGACCATCTGAAAAATGTATCTCCACAAAAGAAAAGCATTTGCTCCTCATTCTCTAATCCTACAGGGGAGCCAGAGATGACACCGGGCACTGGTGGTGTTCATACCTGCTTTAGGTATGTAAGCGAGGAGCCGGGGCTGCCTGCTAGTCCTGCTAAGTCACAGGAGACATGGAGAAGGGGCTAGGGAGGGACAGGGGCCATTAAATAAAGTTAGCAGGACATGGGTTTGGAAACCACACAGAAGCATTAAAGCTGTGGAGCTCCTTCCTGCAAGATTTTTTTAATTGTATATACAGGGCAAAGGGGAGAAAGAACAATGTTACTGGAAAGAAACAAACCAGACAACGTGGCCAGCTCAGGGTACCTCCAGACACAGTTTGGTAGATGTTGGAGGAGCCTCCTGGTGAAGACACACTTGGCCTTTTCCTACACTTTTCCCTAGGCACCTGCCTTGGGGGCAGATGCTCGTAATGGTAGAGCGGGGTAGTAGCAATTAATGCTCCAGCAATAACACTGCAAGGTCTTCAGCAGTGACCCCCCCACCACGCGAGCAGGGCCAGAAGGTGCAGCAAGCACCAGAGAACCCATCCTAGCCGCAGGACAGCAGGTCCTCCCAGGAAGGTGCAGCGGGGGTGATGGACCACTCACCATGGTCTGCCATCTCCTCACTCTGTGCGATATCTACAATGGCAACTTCCACCTGCCTGTAGACGGGCGGCAGCACTCGGACGACCTCGGGGAAGAGCTCTTCATTCTTCACGTGCTCCAGAATAGTGTGCTCGAGCTTTTTGATATCATGGTGATCCGTGCAGTTGACAGCAACTAACTTTAAGATCTGGAAGAGAGAAAGCACACACCTGCCAAAAGCACATCCAGAGGAGTCTTTTAGCCTGTGAGGTAAAGGAGGGACCTAATGCCAAGGAGGTCACACACCGC